CCTAGTCAAATCCCTATATTTATAGTCACCCTTTCAATATTAGCCACCCTATTATAGTATATATAATATACATACAAGGTATAGTATATATAATTTGAAAAAACCCATAATTGAATTTTTTCATCTCCTCTTGAAAAAAAAAAAATGTGAACCTGAAAAGCCGCTTGTTTAGCTACTGCATTTAATCGGCTTTACATGAAAATGCTTATATTCCAATTAACCCTTATAAAAATATCAAATGTACTGTATGTTAGAACAAAAACCTGCATGTTTCAAACTTAAATCTAAAAAAAAATAATGATAAAGTACTTAAGTAATTTTTTTTGTATGGTCTATTTGTTTTTCTTAGCCTGAATTGCATTAAAAGAAAAATGCATTTCACATTTTTTTATTGTTTAGGAAAAAAATTGTCCATATTTTTTCGCCTCTTAAAAAACGTGAGTTTGGAACATATAAGTTAATTCTAGTCTACTTGTATACACTTAGAGTAGAAAATATAATATTTCTTAAATACAGTATGTCACCGGTTCGTTACACACACGCCGATCACCCTGTATATATTTTATTGGTGTACTCATATTAGATTAAGGGGTGTGATGAACCCGGTCGCCGTCGAGCACTATTAGTTCTACAACGGTGAGCTTTTATTGTTTTTAGGTAACACATTTTGGTTCGACGAACACGCCTCGGAAATTCATACGGCTGGTAAATTTCCGTAGGTACCTACGTATATTCCATTATTATTATTACGTGTCCTTTGCGCACAATCGAATGCATACAGATTTGTTTTTAATAGTATTATATAAGAGCGAAACGGTGATCGACGGCATCAGATGTTTATAACAAACAACCTTTAAAAATATTTCACGTTTAGTTTCTATACACACTGCAAATTGGTCACTATATGTTATTTTTTTTTTTTATAAGATTTTTCGTGTCCAAATGGCTATGCATCTAAGTCCGTTGAATACCCAGTCGAGCACGATTTTGATTATTGCGGTTCTATAGGAAAATAAATGGTAAATTATTAAATTAGTCGATTTTTTAACAAAATATTTAATTTTATATAGACATATTCTCATTGATGTTGGTGGGGAGAAAGTTAAATGTGGATAGTTTAAAAGTTGCCTGCGCAGGGGGGAAGTTAGGGATTCTGTTCCCTTCTATGGGCTTAAAAAAAAACAAAAAAATATGAGTAATCTTATATCGAAATATATAATATATTTTACCCTAGTTACGCAAGTTACGAGGAAAAGTTCACGGTATTGATCAGAAATAGGTTTTATTTAGTATCTGGCTTTTAAATTATATAATAGTCGATTTGTGTATAGAAGATGATTTTATGATTTACTCAAAATTCTTATTTGCTATCTCCCCTCCTATTGGAAATTTCTGGGCGTGCTAATAACTACGATTATGGCAAAGAGATTCGCGGTTATCGATACCTACTGAAGGTTATTTTTTACCGGTGTTCTTAAATTGAAAACATAATAAAATGCGTTGGTTTCTATGACATATGACATAGGCAGTTATTAGCTGGTTTTTTTTTTTTAATTGGCAGACTACGATATGGACGGCAGTGGCGTTCTAATAATCCGATAATATATTATTTCATCTGTCGGCTGACTACAGAATTGCGGACAATTATTCTTTTGGCCCGTCGAGTAGCCGCACGAGTTAATCTAAACGCGTGACCGATGTACTGAGGCCATAAATTTCCGTTGTCCTCCGTTCGTTACAATATTGCATTTTAAATTTCATTAAATTTTGTGTTTTGTCTGTTTGACGATTTTCACGTGGATTTAATTTGAAATGATATAATAACTAAATGTAAATCGGGATGATTTTCAGAATGGCGTGGTTTAACGTGTCGTGTTAACTTATATTTTGATTCGACCGTAACGGTTTTTTTTTTTAAATTATTATTTATAGTTAAACTTCTAAATACCCGGGACAAAAAAATTCCAACTGTACTCAGTTTTAACTCGTTAGTCTATCTTGCCTTATTTTAGAAGTTAATTGTATAGTAAAACGCGGTAACTATTCTCAAAGACACGAGGTCTTGAATCGACAACGTTCTCAAAAAAGCCAGAACAAATGGCACCTCCAAGACTATAAGATTTAGTAATATGTAATTATTTCGTAGGATATTCACCGTGATTGCGTTTGGTTCGGGTATGTTTTTTATTTTTGGTTTTTTTCGTCACTCCAGTATTTGTTTTTGTTGTTACGAGATCCTTTAGAAAAAAAATTGTTTATTGCGTCACGGTCATGAAACGTATCACATTTTTTATATATTACAGAACGTTTGCGGGAATGAGTATTATAATATTTGTTTAGACATCGATTGCAGGCTATTATATTGAGTATATAATCTCGCTGTAAGTGGTTTTTATATTTTTTACGACGGGGTTTGTGTACTCACCACATATCCTTGTTTGTGTTCGATGACAGCATGATTACTATTAGGAAATAATATTTGATTCCGTGGTCATTTTTTAGGGCCATTTGCGTATTATTACAAATAATTATAACCTCAATGATCTATTTTCGATCTAATACAAATTTAATAAATACGCATGTATATTATATAATAATGTTGTGGTGAAGGTTTATCTAATGAACCACTCCTTAACTACCTTCCTTAATAGTGTAATTTTTGTTTTGTTTTTAAACGTTTCACATTTTCGTAACACAAGTGTCATCGGTTTATTTCATTCAAACTGATAACTAATTTAATAATTGTATGTAATTGTAGTATACTCTGATGTGTCTATTGTTAAACTAATCAAATCTGTTTACTTCATGATTTGGTAATCAATCTAAAAACCTAGTTATGGACGCTTGTGGTGTATGAAATTGCATTCTATAAACAAATCAGACATAATTCACACCATAAGCGGGCTAATGTTGTAGATAAGAAGTTAGGGATGCAGAGAGGAAATGGAATGCATATTTGTATGTAACTATTAATCATTGCTATCGAAAAATGATTCTGAGTGAAATTCGTTTATAAATGTTTTGAAAAGTCATAATGTTTACGACTTTTACAATTTTTTCCAGTTTTTCTCATTTATTTTGAATACCACTGGGAGAATAAAAAAACAAATTCGCTCCGCTCAAAATCTAAAATATTATTGTTATATGGTTCATACAGAATTATAATTTTAGTGGATTATGTTTCTGAACCCAAAAATGTAGTAAATGTTTACACATGACTGGTTTTCAAAACAAATTTATTGTTTGAAACTTAACATTCGTAAGTACAAATCAGCCGAGTCGTTTCTAAACCAACTGCATTTTTCCCTACACAGTTAAAACAAGTGACTGAGGTTGGTTTGACGTGTTATAATTTTTCACATATCGTAAAATACTATTGGGTAGCCATTTCAGAAATAATAAAAAACACTTATTTGGATAATTGTTGCTTATGTCCGTAACTAGGACATCAGAAAAGTGGAAATCCACGGAGAAGAATAAATCATTTTTTCTCTGTGATCTGCTGGACGTGGTTTTGCATAGCAAATCATGAGTTATTTTTCAAAGACTTCATTTGAAGAAATATTGGAATATTGAAAGTTTTATTCGATAAATTTGTTTTTCTTATCAGGTGTATTAGAAGGCATTTTATTCCATCTCGTTTTTAAAATAAACAAATATATTTCATTTACAGTCAAGAAAATATATAAAAATAATAAAAAAACGACAAACTGATTTTTGACAAATAGGCAATTATTTTTCGAACAATACCTACAGTGTACAATACCTACATGCAGAGTTCACGATACTCGTACCGAGGCTATGTGTACAGAAGTATATAATTTCAACTATTTATTATTATAGTTTTCTTACGAGACTTGACCTAGTTAACTGTACATAGCGTAGAATTTGTTTGTTTTGCAACCCTTGTAGGTATATCGATTTTTTTTTTTGTTTATTACTGTTGGAGACCAGTTTTTGAACATGTCGTATATACCGTATTAATTTTTTTGCCACTGTTATATTTTAGCGAAGATATTTTGACCCCGTGCTGATTTTACCCGATGAGTTTTCGAAGAAGGCGAATTTGTTTATTAATATTAATTGTTATCTGTACTTTAGGTTCTTTAGTAACCCGAGAATAGCCAAGACACCGATGTTTTAATATTGCATATACACTACGCCGTGCAAACAATATTTTGTATTTAAGGATATAATACATAATTTTATTTCGTTTTTTGCACTATAGATTTGTTGATTATGACACTTTGTGATTTAAACCGTAATAATGAAATAAATAGAAATCAAAACTAACAAATTATAAACTAATGAAAAAGATATTGAGTGGGTTTTAAAGGTCAGAAAAAAATATTAATTGTTATAGTTATGTAAAAATACGGGAAATAATATTTGACTCGACCGTAATAAAGCAACGACTAAGTTAATTTGTCATGATAAAATATACCAACCAATATATTTTCGAGAAATTATATCATCATAATTTTAGTGATCTAAACAATAAACGCTATGTCTAGATGTTGTTTGGAAAACCACCGTTACTGTTCTTAACACGACTTTGTGATTTTATTATCGCATCTTGTCTATTTATCTTACGTATATGGTTTAAACATAAATCGATCATACACGACAAAAGTTCAAACATAGTCTGTTATCAATAATTATATTATTATCGTTAAATCGAATATGTAAGTGGTAGAATATCCATTAATTTTATACGTGTAGATAATTCCGAGTGATAAATTAATATATTTGTAAACGCTAGACATGCACTTGAATATTTTTTTTTGTTATTCTGTTTTTTTTTCCATCAGATATCCGATGCAACTAAAAGTTAACGGTAAAACTGCATGGCTGAGAAAAATCTTTAGTATAGGTATTCGATTTTCTCAACGTCTTTGTTTGAAAACCATACTGTTTAAATTATATATATATATATGTAAAAAAAATTAACCTACCTTAGTCTAAAACGATTCACCATAATCATTGAAAACTATAATATTAAACGGTAGATAACTTAATTTCTATTAAATTGCCTCCGAGATGAGCCTACGATATTCGAGAATCTAAAATATTGTCAGGCGTTCACACGGCAAGTTTCGTAATATCGCCATCGCGATAATGAAATTTTTGACACGATATATTGTTCCAGTGTGAATTATCCCGAACCTATTCCGGTGTAAATTACTGACAGGTACATTATAATTGTTTATTTAACATTAGACGTAGCATAATGCAATATTTTCCAACAAAAGACATTTTCAAAAATACTAAGTTTTAATAAAACTTTGAAAATTAATGAAAAGTTAGCAGTGATGGGAGTAGGAAGTTGAAACCTTCTAAAGACATATCTTTGACACTAGTGATATTAATATGCATGTATACAAATTTTAACCACGTTACTTAAATTAATGAATCTATAGTTTCTCTACAAATTAAACCATGCAATTTAAACATGGTTAAAAATGTTGTAAGGCGTGTTGAAAACCAAACCACCACAAACTTAACATTTACATAATGGATGTATAAATTGCAACCACCCCACTTTGAATTTCAACCAAAATGTTATCACATCAATCCGCCTGTAAAATAAATCGAATTCCGAATTTGAAATAATTAGGCTCGGAAGGAACAGCGAAAGTGTAAAATGTCTTGGGAATAAAATTCAAAAATAATATTAATGGTAGAAATATTATTTTACATCTTATTCCCGGTATTTTATATTGTTAACTCTCTATTTTTTTTGAAATCAAAAAGCCGGTTTTTCAATTTTTCAGAAATTGAATAATCGATTATTCAATTGGGGCAAACCTTTTTTTCTCTACTAACGATCGATTTTTAAGGAAATTTTAACTTTTTCATAAGTTTTTCTAGAAAATATACATCTTATATAGATGTGCACACGAATTATATGAAAATATTACATGTTCGAAAAGTTTACAAAAAAAAAAAAAATTATTATATATATATGATGATTTCACCCTAAAACACGACGGAATACCAATTGGCCTTATTTTTTCTGTCGTTTAATAAATGATGCACACAGGAAACACTAATATGTATACAACGCCGAGGTGAAATATCTTTTGGACATCGGTTCTCTGTATAATAATAATAATAGTATATTGTAATAAATATGTCAAGAAGATTTATGGCCGATCTGCGTCGGAGTGCGGTAAAACTTGTCGTCGAAAAAAAAAATGGCATTCTAAAACCACGGGTCCATCGTCATCACACGCGATCACATGAGGAAAATCCGTTTATAGCAGTGGTAGCGCTCGAGCTTATTGTAATGGTGAGTAGGAATATTTTAAAAATTACAAGAGGAGGAGGGCATACGTTGAGAATATTATATACAGAAAGGCAAATACAAATATACTAACAGGAATAGAAAATGAGATTATTATATCGCTATTAAGATTTGTTTATTTTATAATTAGATCGTTATATTGTATATGATCTATGATTGATTTTATGATTCATATTATAATATCGACGGCGTTTTGTTAAAATGGCGTCTATCAAATTTCATATCAAATTTCTATCAAATCATGTTTATCATGGAAACCAACAAAATTACTCCTGCACATAATTCTTTGTACACAAAGTATACAGTATTCATGCATTAAATGTCATCCTTTTAACAGATCAGTGTTGATTTAATTATATTTTAAGAGACTCCCTGGATATTTTTTAGAAGACATTACCAAATTAATTTTCTGTATTTAAATACGCCCTTTTACCGGTAAATGCTCCCAATTTTTCTGATTTTTTGATACCGAAAACGTATTTTCGATTTTTATAGAAGCATATACGCACTTTTTAAAAAAATAGCATCGATATATTAATTCAAAAAGTATCTTCGAAGCTATAGATTTTTCTGAAACTTATCCACATATAATTAGATTAAGATAGCATTTATAATATACCTAGTATATTTATTGAAATATTAGAAAACTGTTTATGATGTATTGTATTACTTTTAGCTGTTTTAAAATCGAACAACAAGTCAGTCTTTTTGTTGCATTTCAGATGTTAGTGGTGTATTGAGGAGGATATTTTAATTTTTTTTTTTGTAGTGTCCATGATAATTGAGAAAAACACACAGAATACGTGAAAGTTTACGGCAATAAGGATTTCATGATTTCGATTTTGTTTTTTTTGTTTTTGTTGTAACTCAATCAGAATTTTCAGAGGATATTTATATAAGCCTTCATTAAACGTTAATTTTTCAAAATATTCTAGCAGTTTTTAGTTTTTTTATGAAATTTATTAGTTTTTTTGGTTAGGTTAGTAATTTTTACACAAGGTTCATCATAAATTGAATTTGGTGGATAATAACAAAAATATTGAGTGCAATCTTTTTTTCATATTATGTACCTATTACAGATTTTTTGAACCAACACACAGCGCGAGATGGCCGCCGCTGAAGAGACAAAATGAAAGACATTCGTTATTTTAATCCACCCTCACCTAATCCCTTCCCCTCTCAACTCCCAGTCCTTCTTCGACGTGGACAATCCCAGTCCGGTCGCGTTCCGACACGACCCACATTGGATTGCGGGTAATTGGAATAACTACCGGGTACAAAACTGTAATGACCTTTTTTCTGTTTCAAAAACGATAATATGTATTTGTTATTTTTTTCGCCGGAAAAAAAATATCAACCTAGTAGTATTTTAATGATGAGCTGAAAATTTATCCTCGAGGATCTTGTCGAAATGGAGTGGTTTTTTTCTTTTTAAATCTTTGTCACAAATTTGAGATTAAATAAAGTTCAGAAATATAATAACCAGAGTTCAAGATTTAAGGCTCTTCAAATCAATTAAAATTTTCGTTCTGTACAGCGAAATAAGTACTAAAAATGGTATTGAAATTAGGAAAGTGAATAATAAAGTCTCATAAATGTTCTCTTAACTAAAAATATTCTGAAATCATTTAAAAAAATGTGGGTCATCATAAGTGGCTATTGTATTTAATATGTTGCCCATAGGTGCGTGAAGTCATTTCCTCCGCTAGTAGTTGAAACAATACATTAAATATTGAAAGTGATTATACGAAAATAGGAGAAATTGTTGGAATTTTTTAAAAAAAATGTTTAGATAAATAAATATCTCTTAAAGAACTAACTTTAATTTATCGCTTATCTAGTATTTTAACACATAGAATATAAGTAGCTTGTTTTTCAATACTCGTTATAGTATTTAGCATCTTGTATTTAGATACTAAAAATAAATGTATCTGGTGCTATTCAGCTGTAGTTAATCATTTAGAAGCAACTTGACATTTCTAGTAGTTTAACTCTAGGCTAGTTTTAATGTAACCTCCCCTCCACCCCACCAAAAATATAACCAAATATTCATCATGTTCTGAAATAATAATATTAAATCTCAAAAACTTCAAGTTCATCTGTTTTTTTTTTTTTTTAATCGGATATGAGACATTTTCTTTATCTTCGTCTATTTCGATTAATATTTCTGATTAAAAGTTAATTATTTTTATTGTGTTCGTCGCGTGGACGGGAAAAATATTATCAAATGAATAATAGCTGCGGTTATATTTTATTGCAACCGACTCGAAATAAATGCCATTTTCCTGACATTTATTAAAAATGTAAATAAGACAAAATAATAATACAATGACAAACCGAAATAAATTTCTTTCGAGACAAGCACATCTTGTAAATTAAAAAGTACTTAAAATAATCATAACGACTTCGGCATGTAGATATTCATAATAAGAAATAAAGTTATTCTCGGACTCAATTGCTGTTGTTCGTTTTATCTAATATAAATTGTTAAAATCATGTGTTCTGAAAATATATAAGGATTTAGATTCCTGTGTATAAGTTTGTTTAAGATAGTAAAACATCTTGTTATAGAATTTTGATGTTTTATTAGTTATAATGTTTTGTCTACATACAGTGTGTTTCTGAATAGTGCGAGTCAAAATGTACGGATAATTGCTTGGTTGGATTTCAGTATGCATTTTATCACGATTTTACGGATGGAGAGTATTTTTTTTTTAGCATTGACCACCCTAAATGAAGCCAGGAGTTAAATTTTGTATAGATGTACTTGGGCGCGATGTTAGTATCAAGGATAAGATACCGTTTGTCGGTTTCAACTATAATCCATTTCCTTCTACCATTTTTTTGATCGGATTTCACTATTCGTTTTGAAGTAATATACTAATTAGTATATTGTTTAATTAATTTTGCATAGAATATTTGTAAAATACAAAATAGCCTGATAGGGAAAATTCTATTCCGGTCACGGAGCTCTACTACTTATAAGTTGTTTTTTTTTGTGAATGTTTAGGTTTTAACAATAATTTTCGCTTGCCTACGCATATAGCTTAACAATTATTTCGAAAAACCACGAGCAGCGAACACGTATCATACCAAGTGCGCAAGACGTGTTTAAATATTCAGTTTCACTATACAGATTGGTTGTTTTTTAATGCGATCGCATCGTCTCGTTGAAATTAAAAATAATATCTTATACTGCAGTTATAAGTCTCGCATCTTTGTTTAGACGCGAGACGATTGCTCAACACCAGAAGCACAACGCTGTTTCACATTTTTAATTTCACCCACTCCCCCCGTGTTAATTATTATTTCACCGTTCATTAATTTCCGTCGTATTCTTTTATTATTATACGATATTATTAATGCCGGTATTTTAATTTGAATTTTGTAATAGACATTTTAGCGAAATTATAACCGAATTATTTATTAAATCATATTTAAATAAAATATATATCGAGTGGTATCTTTATGTAAAAATCAAAAGCGAAAACTATTAAAAATGTGAATTATGTATTTATTAAAATCCTCAATCATTATTATGCGTAGGATTTATGTTATAAAATAAGAAAGAACATATCAATACACGATCACTGTGCACTTCAATGTACTTATATATATTTAGTCCCGAGAAAAAATTATTGCTACAATAATTAATAAATAGTAAAAGTAACTAAAAATTAAGACATTATAATTATGTTTGGCATTTATTTCAAATATTTTGATGTGAATTAAACATACGTTTATTTTTAAATACCGTATTGGTTTATTTACAATTACTGATGTTTGTTATTTTCCTCATCCGTTATATTTTTTATATATTACGTTTTGTACATTAACAATACGCGAAAAACCATCTATAAAATATTAGTAAATAATTTATTATTAATGTTAATTAGTAAACGTCTTATTATTTTAAGCATATTAAAAATTTCTATAAACTTATTTATTGCTATGCA